TAAATGGAATGTAATATGTAAACCATAAATTTATAGAATACGATATATGTGTTCGATGCACATTAAAATGAAAAGAATGTATTTTTTTGTGATGTGATTGTGAATATGTGGTTGAAAAAGAAGGAAAAGTTATTAATGTGATGAGAAATATTATTTTATTGAAAAATGCGTGGTTGAAAATGAATAGAATAATGAGAATAAAAATTTTAATGTCGCTCAAATAGGAGCTAAAAAATCAATTCTTCTGTTAAAATAATAGGAAACAAATGCACGCTTAATCTTCTCCAATCAAATCAATTCTCAAATGTAATGTGACCACTCATAATTTTACATCAATCATTTTCATCAATGAACCGTCAAAACGCATTTACATATGTAACATTCCTGACCCATTTTATATACACAATTCAAAAATCATTCAATTTCCATATAACATAAATCATTTCAAATTAATTTGACACAATTCAATATACAAAATTCAAAAATCATTCGTGAACATAAATCGAATATAATGAAAACAAACTATAAATGTAATCCAAACCCATTTTTTCTATCACTCTAAATTTTGCTCAAAGAAAACAAAAATTTGGAATTATAAGTTTTCGTCATTTGTCACTGGTTACCTTTCCATTTTTAAAGCCAAAATAATTGAAGTTGATGTGTCTGGAGGTGACGCCGAAACTGCGGTGTCATATAAGATTGACGATGACATAATGACAATCACCTTGCAGTAGTGTTAGAGTAAATTGGTAGCAGGAAACGTAAATTTAAGGTTCCAATTGGTTGAAAAATGTGGTAATTTTTATGAAGAGCTCAAAGAATGGAATGTGATATGCCCAAAAGCCAGCCATGTTTTTGGCCATGGAATTGGAATCCAATATTGCTGGCTTGTACACTGGTTGGAATTGTTGAGGGCGTGAATGAGCGGTGCAACTCAATTCAACAGAATTATTGTATGGCCATTTGCATGTGATTTTCCTTTTGTAGAGTCTCTTGTTGGCTGAAAAAAAAAATGCTTAAATTTGCAGAAAGCTTGGTAGAGGGTCCTGCTCCTGCAGCAAGTTAAATTTTTAAAAGAAAATAAAGTCATCTTATACCTAAAATCTCCAGGTTATGGTATTCTATATTTGCACGATTTTAAAA